CTAACGGTGTTGATCTATATTTTACCCTCTCTAAGGTACTTTCCTGCTATATCCACTCTGTGAGACCTAGAATTCTTTTTTGAGGAGATCCATCCTATACGATGATATGCTAGAGCCAAGATCTATGTTCTTGATGTTATTATAATCCTTTAGTTATTCTAGAAAAGATTTACTGTAAACTTATTATCATTATTATTGACAGTGGAAGTTTAAGGTAACCTACGGTCATGTGGTTTTTCTCACATTGGGTTTTTCACGTTAAAAGATTCGATCTTAATTGATTAATTGCTCTATTATTTATGCTATGTTGGTTGATATTTATATTTTTGATATTAAATTGATATTTTGATGAGGAACTATTTTAATACATGAAAAAAAATTATCCTGATTTTTCCCAACAAGATCCTCATCAACCATGCATTGAGCGCCATTAATGACTGGACGAGGATTTCACGTCCAGTTGTTGAAGTCGTTGCTGTTGACTCCTCTAAGTCTGCGCCTACCACGCGACACCTCGATGCTAAGTGAGACGAAAAGAACCGGCAAGGAGATCTCTTCTAAGCTACGTATTCATCACTTAATGGGCTCTTGACTCAACTAAGTAGATCGATACCACGCTTTCCTCGAATCACCAGACCAGAAAGAGTAGAAGTCTAAGAAGAACGTGGACCATATCTCCTTCTGCATGGAGAATGGGAAAGGATGACTGTGTTGGTCCATCAGCACGACGATTTGTTCGTCGTCGTTGGACCGTAATGACGATGACGGGCACCGAGACCTGGAAGACTTGATGGCTTGGAAGTCATGATTGCCGAAAGTTGATTCCTGATGACAAACTGCCCTTACGAAGCAATAGTGCATGGGAGGAGGTCATGATCTATATTTCTTAACTGGCTTGGAATTCAACTTTTAGTCTACTACTAGTGCAGCGTCGCTTGCACTTCATATCTGATGAAGAACAAAAGAGTTCCAAATGGAGAAGGCCAGATGAACAGATGTTGTTAACCAGCACTCTACTGGATTCTGGCTTGCAATTGTGAAGATATAAAATGATAAGAAAAATAAAAAGATAGAGATAGAGAGGAATAGTTGAAGGATTTTGATAAAAGAGACAAATAGAACTTTGTTTCTTTTTTAGACGAGCCTCTACCCTTTTTCTTGACTCACTTAAACTCTATTTGACTATAAGAAATCTTGTATAATTATAGAATTATATATGAGAGTTACAAGATTCAATTTGATAACCATATTCCTACACTTTTATCATATTTAATATATCAAATTTACTATAATTGGTTCTTTATTTTCATAACTCATGAACCTATCTTTTCATGGTTATCTTTGTTATGATGTATAACCTTTTTGTCTCTTCTTATTTGAGAGATTACAAATCTTTTACCTATGTGCTCATGAAAGAGAGTTTAGTTTTTTCTTTTAATTAAGTTTATTTCTCATTTAACACTCTCTAAACTAAATTGATTTTTATTATATAATTCAAGTGATATCTTCATTGTGAAAAATATCTCTAAATTGAGAGGCTTGGTAAAAATATTCATAATTTGATCATTAAAATTGACGTAGCCTAATAAAACTTTGTTCTCCTTGATTTGATCTCAAATGAAAGAGAACTAAATATTAATATGCTTGCTTTGTTATTGGCTAATGCAATTATCGACTAGTTATCTTTTAAGAGCTTCCACTGTGGGATGATGGCTTCACTAGTAAATAACACTATAATAAATTATTTCTCTGAATACAAAGTGAAAGTGGTATAAAATAAAATTATTTTTACTTCTTCAATCATTCATAACTCCTCAATAACTATTAGAATAGCCAATGACTCAAAAATCATTAGAAAATGAATAAAATTGACTAAGTCATAGTACTTTTGATGTAGAAGAAATATTTTTTGATGGCCTTTGGATATTGTTGGAAAATCTGGGGCGATATCACATGTGCAGCGGAAGAACAGAAAACAAAAACCGAGAATTTCCACATAAAATGTTTCTTATCATTGTATAAAAGTTGGTGCGCAAAACCTACGAAACCAAAAACTACGCATAAGATTGGATGAAGGAGTTCAAATATCCTCCTCTCTAGTGGTGATCCACACAGTAGGGGGCTACGAAGACGCTCCTCAAATCGTTGCCCAAAACTCTTCCTCGCGCACACCATGCAATCAAGAAGAGGCTACTACTTCTTACTGTCCACACACCCCAAATAGGGGCTATAGTATGAAAAAGAGAGGGAGAGAGAAGAATAAGATGTGGTAGCCAAAAAGAACCTAGCCCATAGCCCTTTGGTTTCCTTCTATTTATAGAGGTCTCTTGTCAACTTACCCTAATGGATCTTGCCATATTAGGTATTGGATCTCCATCCAACTACCCAAGCCTCTTAGATTAGTGGGTCTCTACCCAATAATCTCTTATTGGCTTTTATTGGATCTCATCCATAGGATCCAATAATTCAGGAGCTTATTAGATATCCAATAAGATAAGGGCTCCAACAAATATCTCATATCTGAACATCTACTCGTCACAATACGTACCATATATGTATGACTCTTTAGGCCCAATATCGAGCTGGTCATGAGTCATACCTATTAGAACTTCTTCTAGCTCAGTGAATTATTATCTCCATAATAATTCACTCGACTCATCGACTACGAACATACTAGGCCACTACACCGTAGTCCCTAGATAATACTAGGGAATCCAATCCATTGGACATATCTATTCTCAGTTACCGTGTATCTATAGTCCCTCAACCATCTAATACTCCAAAGATCGTATACCGAGCATAGTGCTATTAGGCCCATATTGTTTCTACTTGAGTCTCGCTCTAATCGGATTCTCCTAGAGAACTCTTTCTCTCTTAATCTAAATGACCCTGGCTTGGGATTTGTCTAAGCAAGAACACAAAATATTTCTCTCATGACACCGAGAGCAGATGATCCTCTATCGACACTCAATGGTCCTCGTAAGGTTGACTACCACTCCTGATGACCGGTTGTAGTATATCTGGAACTTCTAAACCTACAAGTCTAGTATCAAATAGTGGAGTACTTATATAGGATATCCTTAGTATCTTAAGTCTAAGGACCAAATACACCACTAGGACTACGAAATCGCTGTTTGACAATAAGGTATTATCAACAATTCAATATTTCGTGAGCAGATCAATCAGTGAACTTATTCTTTAATGAGCACCTGCACTGTATCCCTAGTGTCCCCACACGAGCAGTTATGAGACTAGTCACCTCCATCATATATATAGGTATACAGTACATCAATCTATTCGGTTATCTCGATATTCCTCTCGAGTAACCTATAATTGAGATTATTTAGGGTTTATGTTTAAAGACGAATCAGTCTCATTATCGTAATCTTATCACGATCCGATTCCCATTACACAGATCCATGAACATCACAATATATTCATGCAACAAGTAATATAAAATAATAAAATACTAAATAATATAATAAATAAAAAAATGTGTATCATGTCACACATGTCATCACTCACGTGATTGACTTGTAGAGCACCTATGACTATCATATATTGATTCTTTCATAATATAGTTCCATATAAAATATTTAATCTAGTGTAAGTTAAATATCTTAAGCTTTCTATAGAGGTTTTTAAATATGTTGGATCAATTGTTTTCATCTTATTTTAAAAGGTTTTAAAAAAAATCTCATAATCACAACTAGAATGTCAACTGATTTGCAATCCTCTTTCTTAATTTTTTTAATATCTTGATTTATTATATATATTTTAAATAAATATGTCTTTTTTATTTTGCTTCACTTCAATACTAAAGAAATAAGATATAAATCCAATGTCGCATTTCAAATTATTAAATCATTATTTGCTTAAATTCTTCAAACATAAAGATATCTAAATTTTGGTTTATTTTATGGTAAAAAAACATTTTAATAAGGATTTGTTTTTTATAAAAGAGCAAGTGGTTAAAGTAGAATTGGAGCGGGACTTTGCGCTATAAATTATCAAATAATATTAAACATAACTATTTATTTGAAATAGACATAAATTCAAGTTTTTATGCTCTTGGTGTTGGCTTTGAGGTACTCAAAGCTTTTTTCAAACTTGCAAGTTCTTTTAACGGGCCCTTTTTAATTTAATTAAAAAGGTTACTATATATATATATATATATATATATATATATATATATATATATATAATGAGAATGTTTGAATTAAACTTGTTAAGTCATCATGAAGAAGTTCATTGTATTAAAAAATGAAACATATTAAAGATCTATAGAAGAATGAACTAAATTGATTATTAAAAATATCTTTAAAAAATATTCATATTATATTTAATATATTTGTGGGAACTATATAAACCTCCACCAAACATATAAAGGTTTCGAGTAAAATATATAATATTTTATCTTATTCTTTTTCGTTTATGCGATAACATTATCTTTTCTAATTCTACAATAGTGATTTTGACAACACAATGTACTGATTGTAACATCTCATTTACCAGATCAACCCCGAAGCCATGACTCCATCAAATTTCGCCAAATAAACTTGTTTGCTAAAGGCCAATATGTCATAAATGTATTCACAGGAGAGTTGTCTTGGAGCAGATTAGTAGCAGGTACGGTTTTGCTTACAACATTCCTGGAAGCAAACGTCACTTGTTCATGAGTCATATCAGTCAAATCTTGACTTCTTTAGTCATTGATACTGCTCTCCAGGCGACTTTCCTAGCTACTTCCTTCATCGTGGGAATGCAGCATTTTAAACTCGCCTGTTCACATTACAACAGTCTCATCCGTACTGGCCCTTAAACCAAACTAAAACCTAGTACGACCTAATGGACCTTACTCCCATTGGTGATTCTGCTGGGTTGGGACGAGTCAGTTTCATGTACTTATTGGACTTCTCCATCCTTTTTCCTCCGAATTGCAGGAGGCTTTTGGACGAGCATATAAGCATTTCATGAACCTTTCTTTCCCTTCCAAGAGACAACAGGTGGGCAGCATTGTGAGCCACAACACATGGAGAGAAATGATTTCGAGCTTCATCTGCCCGGCTTTAGGTTTCATCCAACAGAGGCAGAGCTGCTAGATTTCTATCTCAGAAGAGTAGTGCGGGGCGAGAAACTTGACTTCGATTTCATTGGCAGTCTTAACATCTACCACTATGACCCATGGGAGCTCCCAGGTGTGCACACTTGTGAAGTCCTCTCCGTTTCCTTCGCAAGATAATTCTGCAGAGAAAATATTAATTGCTATGTATGTGGCTGTGATCAGGCCTGGCGAAGGTAGGGGAAAGGGAGTGGTACTTCTTTGTGCCGAGGGACCGGAAGAGCGGGAACCGGGGACGGGCCAACCGGACGACCGAACGGGGCTTCTGGAAGGCAACCGGCTGCGACCGGCAGATACGGAGTCTGGCGGACTCGAAGCACCTCCTTGGGTTGAAGAAGACGTTGGTGTTCTATCAGGGTCGAGCGCCGCGAGGCACCAAGACTGACTGGATCATGAATGAGTACCGGTTGCCGGATAGTTACTCTGCCGCCATCTCCACACCTCAACAGGTAAAAGACTGCCAAATTGATATATACTAAGATACAGATCAGTATCGCGTTCTTTACTCGGGATCAGTGTTTACTTATTGATTTTGTATTTACTGGTACACAAGTTCCAGTTGGTGGTGTTCCAAAAATCCTAGCCATGATACTAAGTCAAAAAAATCTCCACCTGAGTGAGTCAACCATTGGTAGAATGGAATCGTGAAGTTGATCACCAGGGCAACTGGAACCATAAATATTGACTTGGAATGTGATCTACGAAAAAGAAGATGATCTAATGGATATCCTAGTGCTTGCTGCAATACGAGACGAAAATTGCAACAGAATTCAGTACATCTTCATATCTCATATCCTGCTATGCATATCACAAGAGGTAGGAATCCATGGCAATAGGGATCATTGCATGGGAGACTGAGAAAAGGATTCACAAGAAAAAAAGGGGTTTACATCGATCATTCCTGCCTTTCTAAGAATCTTCCTGTAGCAAGTGATAGCAAAAGCAGCGGTGTTAGATCTATTGGTAAAGATTAAAGTGGCTTAGTTGCGTCATACTTTGCTTATGCAGGTCATAGTGCTCTGCAAGATCTACAGGAAAGCAACATCGATGAAGGAGTTGGAACAAAGAGCCGCATCAGAAGAGAAGAGAAAGGAGGCCCAGATTTGCTCGGCCATGGCTGACAACGTATCCATCTTCTCGGCTCCTTCAGAATGCATGGATGTCAAGGAGATGGAGGCACCGAAGAAGGTGGAGGTGACTTCGACGACCTTTCGCTCTGTGAAGCTCCCGGAGCTCCAAATCCCCATGGACAGCCTTGATTGGATGCAGGACCCCTTCCTGACACAGCTGCGCAGCCCATGGCTGGATCAATGGTCCCCTTGTGCCAACATCCTCTACTTCTGACATGCACGCAAACTGCATGACAATATGCAACATGAAACTTGAATCGGCTAGGTGTCAAGATATAATTGTCAGGATCGAGAGAGGGGAAACAGCTGATTTAGCTTGCTGATTAAAGAGCATCACAGGTAGGTAGGCCAGGTGTAGAGAATGTTTGAAAAGTTATCGGATAGTGTGAGAGTGAGTTTTCTTGTTGGCTTTGGTGCTCCTTCTGAATCGGTGGATATTCCTGTTTAACATAATTTGCTTCGTCAAACAAGAATACTTTAATGTGTTCGATCTAGTATCGTATTTAGGGGTTCTTGGTTGCGGGCTGCCATTCGACTTGCATAGCAAGGCAAAAAGTAAATTATGATTTATACAAGTGACGACAATGATTTTAATCGCCCAATCCACTTGACACTAAGGGCCATTTATTTCAGTGAAGAGAATTTTTTTTATGTATGAAATCCAAAATCCAAAACTGACGTCTTCTGGATTAATTTTGTTGAAGTCAAGTACATATCTATCTAACTCATGACTGACACACGACAACAAATGATGATGCCGCGCACCATCAAGCGCACGGCTCTACCACTCTCTTCTTTTGCATCCTGATGCACGCCATGTCACTCTATGGCGTGCAAAAAGGAACCAAGCACATTAAATTTTATTATAATTCATGGTGTGGATACTGAACTAAGAGACCACATATAATGTATTATAATTATGATTCTAAAATTGTTAAATAGAAATGTTTCCATGGGGTTGAGAGTGACTTGGTCTATTATCAGTTTCATCACCGTAGATGAGATCCGAGTCGAGGGGCAAGAGATGATACCACCGTTTGACGGCCCAAAAATATTAGTTGAGAGACTGATTGATGTTGGTTTTGCTGATGGATCGAACGACGTGAGCGCATCACTTTACACGTCCGACATCGGTAACAATCCATGGTGAGACGTGAGAGAGCAAAAAGGCTGCAGGATTTGGACGAGGAGAGATGATGGAGAGGAGCGGGGTATGTGGACGATGAATTCGGATGGCATTTGGGGAGTTGAACTGTCACGCTACCCAACACTTCAATTTGTTGCACGGCGTTCTTGTCCATTCACAATCATCGTTTTCCTGCAATATATATTTCTTCTCGACAGGATGTACATTCTATTACTTACCTGCACGTCCATTCACAATCATCATGCATGATATTTCTTCCCCCCCTTTACATTTCATTTCATTACACCTCAATATACTTAGATACTTGTTCTGGAATATCTTCTTTCACCTCTTCACTCCTTCCTTGACATCACATTTCCAAAACAGACTTAGATATTTGTCCTGTAATATCTTCTTTTCATACTTGGGGGGCAACTGAAAGAGCCTGGTGGAGCTCCTAGCTTTGGCTCCTAGCTTTGTTATCGTTGCTTTGTTCATATTCTGCGTTCTGTTTTCTAACATTTCACTACCATCGACAAGATATATGAAGTGCAAAGAACACCATAGGTTAAAATTGGCCATTAGCAGATAAAATAGAAGATGCATACAACGATAAATAATGCCTTATGCAGACATTACCTTTTATCTTGCGTAACATTAGAAGCATCATTTTGCACATCAACATTACCAATTCGTATATAATGCATCTTATGACAAGTTTGAATACAAATTTATTCAGACTGAGAAGCAACAACTGGATTCTATAAAAGAATTGGGATGATTCTAATCCCTCTCGCTCTTCTCGTCAATTAATACTAGAGAAGCTGAGAGCCATTCCCCTGCCTTACATTCCGATAGATCCATTTCTAATAAGCACCCTATCTAGCTGCACGGAGTTGAAGATGGTCATGAGAGAAGACCAAGTGCCGGAGATGGCCAGCGTCAAGCCGATGATGAGGATGGCGATGTCTACGGTTGCGCCAGCCCATCCGAGCTCAGAGCCGAAAACCTTGAGGTGGAACAACGCCGGAAGCACGAACCCCAACACGACGCACACGCTGCTGCCCACCAGCGACAGGAAGTCGGCGAAGTTGGGCACCAGCGTGGCCACCAGGCTCACCGCCACCACCACGGCCCACCGCAGCCACCAACAGTACCGTTTCCCGCACACCCACCGCTCTGCCACCTCGAACACCGGATTCATCATTACTGGGAACGTGAAGAAGAGGTTGATGCAGAGGCCCAGCTGGATAAGCAAGCTAAGAGCGCCGACGCCGAGGTTGGTGGTGATGATATCCCGGGTCTCCTCGCCGAAGGCTGCGTAGCCGAGCACGCCGAAGAGACCGTACAGGAGCGCGATGAAGGCCATGGAGAGGCCAAGGGTGCGCCCGAACTTGGGCTTGTCGGCGGCCTCGGCCTCCAGAGGGATGACCATGCCGACGCCTTCGAAGGCGTAGACGGCGACCCCGATGCCGTAGAGGAGGACGGAGGGACCGGAGAAGGCGTTGAGCGGCGGGGGGCTGGACAGCATGATGGAGACGTCCTCGGCGATGACGACGCCCATAGCGCCAATGTCGACAACGTCGGCGAAGATGCTGAGCGGGGCGAGGAGGGTGAGGGTCTGTATCGAGTTGAGGCCAAGCTGGAAAGGAAGCATGGTGAGCACGTAGATGGCATTGGAGGAGAGGAAGGGGAGGAAGGTGAGGGAGGCGGGGAGGAGGTGGGTGAAGGAGTTGGAGATGAAGATGAGGTAGCCGATGCAGAAACCAGCCTGGCTGAGGACGATCATGGCGTCGACGGCGAGACGGCCGAGGGGACCGGCAACGGCAAGGCCGAGGTCGCCGAAAGAGGCGATCTTGGCGGAATGCTCGAGATTTAGTTGGCGGCGGGTGCGGACGAGGAGCATCATGCAATGGAAGCTGAGGGCGGCGACGGCAAGGAGGAGAATGGCGCCGGCGGCCCATCCGGTGCGCCGGAAGGCGTAGGGGAGCCCCAGCACGCCGGCGCCTACGATCGCGATGAACACGTTCGCGAACGTCTTGGGCTGCGACGACAGCCGCCGCCCGTGGTAGTCGCTCCCAGCAACCGACGGGAGGAGCGGCGCGTTCGCGTCCAAGCCGCAGCCGGAGGAGGTCGCCTCGCTGCTAAACCTCATGGAATCTGTCTACCAATCGATCAAAGAGAATAGGAAGATTAATCGAGAAAGAGGAACTGAGGGGAACAACGCGCCCGAAAGGTCAAGTCGCACGAATTATATAAAGAGAAAGAAATAACGACACTAAAAATAATAAAATAGTATCAGCGGGTCCCACGCAAATGGGAAGGTGAAGCGTGGCTTCGCCGATATTGTATTGGGAAATTGGAAATGGTGTATACGCACACCTTTCTCAGCATGAAGTGATGCTGAGATCACGGTTTTAGATTGACGGAAATGGACGGACACGATCATCTGACTAGTTCGTCTGGGCAGGTAGTTGCGATATCGAAGTGCGTGTGGTCCGGATGACTATCACACGTTTTTGGAGCGTAGGATTGTGTGGTATTGATTGTTCTGAGTGAGGTGGATGTATGGACAATAAATTTACTAGGATAACAAAATATATCGAACGATAGAAATTAAACATAAAGGATAGATGTTATCATGGATGGATGATAAAGAGTTTGGAAGATGTACATATGCTAAGTTTGTAGAGAGGCTTGATCAGCATGTAGATAAGGTGTGTCGGAGTGTGGCCCACTTTGCCCACGGCTCGCGGTGGTGATTGAGTCCTTTGTCACTGTCTTCCATTTGGCAGTATCGTACTGTCAAAGAGGATAACACTTGGGGAAGGAAGGATGGTCTTTTGTACGCCAACGGGTACGGAGAAAAACCACATGGATATCAAACTTGGTGTTACCAAATTGATTACTCTCACAAGCTGGCTTCTCCTAAAAGGTTGGTGGCATGAATCCTATTACAAAGATAAAATATTACTTGCTAATTCGAATATAAAATTCGCCTTTCTCGTTATCTGCTACTCGATTTAATGGAAAGCACATCAATAGAAAAATATCATAGGATCACTTTTCTCGTTATCAGCTGCTAGATTTAATGTGAAACTATAAAGAAATTTAAACATTAAGATAAAAAAATATACCTTTAGTTACATTCAAAACATATTTATCTCTGAAAGATGTGGATCAGATTCTTAAAATCAAAATTAATTTATATTCTTTGTACATCTATTCTTAGTCCTCAAATAATTGGGACTCAGTTTTATTATTATTATTGTAGACTCTTTTTCTTAGTGTAGCTTAGAGCCCATGTCCATTGCGGATAACACCGACTTCAAAATAATGTATACCTCTCTCTTTTATGAGCATCCAAATTCTAACGTGTCTTCTTGACAAGCCCTTCTCGTTAGCAGGAGCATGTGTTATAACCAACCTTCTGAAACACACCAGTAGGTGTAGTTATTAGGTTATTGGACAACTTGATATTCCAAATTTATGATAAACAAGCCGCAACAAGAACTATCAGGATCAACCAACCTCATAAGATACATCGTAACCTTCACTAAGCCACATTCCTACATGCCCGACAGCAAATTTTTAAAGTTGATTCCCAATTTTGTTAAAAAACTTGCATAACTTAATAGGAAGGAACAAAGCAAAAGCAATTAATAATTTTTTTCTAAAACTAAAACAAATATTTAAAGATGTATTCTAAATTAGTTGATTAAGACTTTAACTGTTTGATATTAATATTAGATTATATTACTAGTCATAGGAACCCTATCGCGTGAGTGATAGTATTTGAGACACGTTACATAGTTTTTTTGTTTATTATTATTATTGATATTTTCTTACTTTATGATTGTCTACTACATATGTTGTAATGTCATTTGATCTGTACAATGAGAAGTTGATCATAACGAGATCATAATAATGGGACTAATTTGTTTGTAAATACAGATCCTAAATATTTTCGATCATAGATTACTCGAGAAGGACATTGAGATAATCGAATAGACCGGTGTACTATATACCCATCCATATAATGGAGGTGGTTGGTCTCATAACTACTTGTGTGGAGATACTAGGGATATATTATAGGTATTTATTAGAGCATGAGTTCATTAATTGATTTGTTTACGAAATATTGGATAGTTAATGATACCTTATTTTTAGACAATAGTTTCGTAGTCCCAATTGTATGTTTGGTCTTTAGACTTGAGATACCAAAGATGTCATGTATGAGTACTTCATTCTTTGATATCGGGTTTATAGGTCTAGAAGTTTCAGATATAGTACAACTGGTCATTGGGAGTAATAGCCAACCTTATGAGAGCGATTGAGTATCGATAGAAGATGATATGCTCTCGGTGTTATGAGAGGAATGTCCCATGTGTTCTCGCTCAAGCAAATCCCTGTCCAGGGTAATTCGGATTGAGAGAGAAATGAGTTCTTCGGGAGAATCTAATTCGAGCGAGACTCAAATAGACTATGTATGGGCCTGACAGCATCATGCTTGATATACAGTTTTTAGAATACTAGATGGATGAGGGACTATAGATATACGGTAACTAAGGACAGATATATCCAATGGATTGGATCCCCTTGTATCGTCTAGGGACTATGACGTAATGGTTTAGTACGTCCATAGTCGATGAGTCAAGTGAATTATTATGGAGATAATAATTCATTGAATCAGAAAGAGTTCTAATAGGTATGAGTCACAACCAGCTCAATATTGGGCCTAGAGGATCACACATATATGGTAGGTATTGTGACAAATAGAGGTTTGAATATGAGATATCTACTAGCCCCTTGTCAATGCAAGCGATGGTATTGCCCAGTACTGGCGGTGGTACCGTTAGTACCTTGAAAACACAAGATGAGACCATTTTTGCTCCAAATTTGAATCTATTTGGGGCCTATAACCAAAGATGAGAGAGGTATTTATAGGTCTCATGTGGATTCAAACTTAGAGCCTAAAAATGTCTTATCCTCGGTTTTCGAGGTACCAGCGATACCACTGCTCAGTCTGGTGATACCACCACTTGACACCCTACCATTGGGTGGTACCACTGCCCAGTATGATGCTACCACTGCTTGACAGTCTCTCGGAGATTGTGTTTGGGTGGTCCCACCACTCAGACTGTACCGCCTAACACAATCTCGAAGATTGTGCCACCATGGTTCTGTTGAATCTTGTATTTTGATGATGAAACCAATTGATAAGTGTTTACGATTTGATATGCATTTTGAGTGACGTAGGATGCTTCGATCAGAGAGAGACATTTAAAGCAGGAAGAATCATGTTGGGCCAAAGAAACATGTCAGAAGATTGGACGTTGCGCCGAAGGATCGGTTGACATATCGACGGAAGGCTTCGAGCCATGGATTCGGGCATCGAGCCAAGAAGAGTGGATATTATGCCAAGGATATCAGAGTTGCAGAGGTCAACTAGCCGATTGGACAATAGGTCACAAGAGAGGACGATGCATCGAAGAATCGGACGAAGCGTCGATGGACCAATGACATGCCGGTCGACATGATTCATGCTTAGTAATAATTATCTAGATTGAAGTGTGTTTTTATATCTACTTAACTACGATAGCAAGGCATAAAGCAAAATGAAGTTCCGGAGTCAAGAACGTGATTTCGTTGGGAGTTTGAGAGTTCGTCGGAAGTCCGGACGTTCGTCGGAAGTTTTACCGGAACCAACCAAGAAGTCCTGAAGCTTGCCAAAGAAGCTCATCAGAACTCGCCAAGAAGATTATTGTGAAGTCCAGGAGCTTGCCGAGAGTCCGCTGGAATATTGCCGAGAGATCTTCGGAAGTTCGCTAGAAGAAACCTAGACTTACCGGACTTATTTAGTTTATTGTGTGCCTTAAAATTCATAGTTAGCACATAATTGGATTGAAATTGGGCCAACTCAATTAGGGGCTAATTGGGCCCAAGTTTGGGTTGTGTTGGGCCAAGTGAAAGGCCCAAATGGTGACCCAACAGGTGGAACCTATTAGTGCTAGTTATAGGTGCCCAACAAGCCAATCACGTGAGTAATGACACATGTGACTTGACATTGAATCTTTTTGCTTATTATATTTTGGCATTTATCACTTTATATTAACTATTACATATATACATGTATATATTATGATGTCCTTGGATCTGTGTAATGGGAATCAGATCATGATGAGATCACGATAATGAGATCGATTCACCTTTAAACACAGATCCTGAATAATCCCGGTCATAGGTTACTCGAGAGGGATATTGTAATAACCAGATAGACTGGTGTGCTGTATATCCGTCCATATGATGGATGCAGCTGGTCTCATAGCTGCTCGTGTGGGGACATTAGGGATACAGTACAGGTGCTCATTGGAGAATGAGTTCACTGATTGATCCGTTTACAGAATGTTGGATGGTTGATAATGCCTTATTGTCAGACAGTGATTCCATAGTCCTAGTGGTATATATGGTCCTTAGACTTGAGACACTAAGGATGTCCTATATGAGTACTCCACTCTTTGATACCAAACTTATAGGTTTGGATGTCCTAGATCTAGTACAGTTGGTCATTGGGAGTGGTAGTTGACCTTATGAGGGCTATTGAGTGTTGATAGAGGATCATCCACTCTCAACATCATGAGAGGAATATCCCTTATGTTCTTGCTCAAGCAAATCTCTAGCTAGGGTCATTCGGATTAAGAGAGAAAGAGTTCTCCAAGAGAATCCAATTAGAGCGAGACTTGAGAAGAAACCGTATGGGTCTGGCAGCACCATACCCGATATACAGTCTTTGGGATATTAGATGGATGAGGGACTATAAGTATATGGTAACTAAGGACAGACAAGTTCAATGGATTAGATTCTCTTGTATCATCTCGGGACTATGGCGTAGTGGCCTAGTACGTTCGTAGTCGATGAGTCGAGTGAATTATTATAGAGATAATAATTCACTAAGTTAGAAGGAGTTTTGACAGGTATGACTCACGGCCAGCTCAATATTAGGCCTAGAGGGTCACACATATATGGTAGGTATTGTGATGAGTAGAGGTTCGGATATGAGATATCCGCCGGAGCCCCTATCTTATTGGATATCTAATAAGCCCCTGAATTATTGGATCCCATGGACGAGATCCAATAAGAGCCCATGAGAGATTATTGGATAGAGATCCACTAATCTAAAAGGCTTGAGTAATTGGATGTAGATCCAATACCCAATA